GTTACTAGCCAGAGAAAGGACCAGGGAACATCCTCAGTTGTTTATTTCTTCTTCCTCACTGAGTAGTATACTGTTTGGATGGAAGCAAACCAGCTTTCAGTTCACAAAGTAACAACACAGAAAGTAGCAACAACAATAAAAATGACAATGGCACCACTCTTTTTAAAGTAGTCACTGTACAGCAGGCATTGTGCTCAGTGATACGTATGGTCCCTGCTAATTATAGCACAACTTCAGCATCACAGATCATTATGGAAGGAAGGAAATGACTGATCAATGTGGTGATGGCAATTAGTTTGGTAAATAACTAACTTAGACTCTCATTTTACAATAATATACCAAAATACACTGAACATTTCGAAAGTTAAAAAAAGTAGCATTCAAATTTGTTTTCAGTTGTTTTGTTACCAACTGGCCCCTTGTTTACCTCACCACACTGTCTCCCATAAATGATGGCTTGCGAAATGCCTCAATCATCAATTTTATGATGAACAGAAACATGGAATGCTATTACAGGGATTGTAGGGGCACTGTCCATTCTGCACATGTATATATTGTACCATTAGTAATGTGAGAGTGCCACTTTGTGGACTATTGAAAAATTTAGGGAAGCTTTAACTCACCAGCCAGGTTTTTTAAAAGTATGTAATTTATGTACGGGCATATAAAATACATATACACCTCAATATGTAAGCATGTATACATAAGTAAACAACATATATGCCCAAGTCTATTTAGTCATATCACTTGACCTATGTACTTTTGTTGTACATAGGTGACCTATTGTTACCTCATAAACATCCTCAAGATTAACTTGAAATTATGTCATTATAGGTTTATTTGATTATTAAGGAAATAAAGCAAAAAGTCATGGTGGAACACATAATGAAATCACCCATAAAGAGATATAATGAGTAAAACATATTTGCATTGCATTGAAAAGGAAATAAAACAGTTCAGTTCTGTGGTCTTAAGAGTAATTTCAGAGTAATTTAAAAAGTACTTAAGAACTAGATAATTACGTTTTGGCTGTCAAAACTCCACGACTAATGCAACATTCACATTAAACCTATAGTTTTAAAAAGTTCAATTTCAATTTTGCTAAATTCTCCATATCAATCATACTAAATCTATGTTGAGTGTAAATGAAAGAAAACACTTTCACACCAGAAGATACTTCATTAGAACCTAGGAGAACAGAAAGGAAATCTCCTCTTCCACAGATGTACAGGTACCGTGTAAGAATCACATGGGAGAAACAATAAAGAGATGGGAGAAACAATAAAGAGATGGGAGCATGCCCTCTGGTACTGTGGCATGTTTCTTAGCAACACAGAAAAACATCTCTCTGCTAAGGAACTCTGCCAGGTAATAAGTGGTTACAGATCATAATTCAGAAAGTGAATTCCAAACAGAGCTAGGGACATTTGCATTCTTAATTATACTGAACTGTTAAGCCTTTTTCATATTTATCATGTCGATTTTGTAAAACAAGAATTATTTCTTAAGATAATTTGCTTCAGGCATATAAAATGTGTGCCCAAATGAACCAGGGCATTTTTTTTTTCACAAGATCCCTGATTTCCACTGAAAAGATATTTGATTTTTCTTTAAAGCATACATCTGTCTAGAGTAATCTCATAGGGTGCATGGGCAAATTGATAAATGCTAGTGTCAGAACATATTATTCATTGTCAGTCTCTGCATGTCAGGTCACCAAGGGAAGAAACTTGGACTCCCCAAAGAAATGCTTTTCTACAAACAATATACTATCTTCATTTCACCATTTGTTCTGAGAAATTTGTTCCTACATTCCATTTCAACAGAATGGTGGGGTGGCATTGCTTTCTATTTTAACATTTCTATTTCAGCCTTCTCTGCAAGTGATAATCTATGGCCATGTTCACCGATATTTTAATCCATTTGGTGAAATGAGCACACTATTTTTTGGATTATTATTAAAATGGTATTAGATGTATCTTTTGAAGTGCAGTTTGTGATTCTCTTCTGATTTCCCTTTATCAGATAAGCCACACAATTCATAAATAAGCTATTTTTACCATCCCATACATGTGAGAAGCTACTGTGCTTTCAACAGTATGTTTTTAAATAAGGAACTGAAATTGTTTTAATTGTGAATAAACCTTTACTATCTATTACAAATTCTAGAGATTCCCCAATTGATTTATATAACTCATCATTTAAGACTTCTTAAAGAAAGTAGAAAGTACATTTTCACTTAGAAGCATTCAGGGAGCACATTACAGATAGTGTGATTATTTCTTTTGAGTAAAAATATCTTAATTATTATTTTTTTTTTTGTGGTACACGGGCCTCGCACTGTTGTGGCCTCTCCCGTTGCAGAGCACAGGCTCTGGATGCGCAGGCTCAGCGGCCATGGCTCACGGGCCTAGCCGCTCTGCGGCATGTGGGATTTTCCCGGACCGGGGCACGAACCCATGTCCCCTGCATCAGCAGGCGGACTCTCAACCACTGCGCCACCAGGGAAGCCCATATCTTAATTTATTACATTTAACTGTTATACTTTCTAATAACTAAAAAGGAATGGCAATTAGAATACTCAAGTTAGTAATTTCTGAATTCTGTCATTATATTGTAACCTTTGAAAATTCTTGTTTAATTTTCACCTTATTTGGCCATGCCTAGGATATGTATGAACTATATTGTCACAGAGATCAACCTGTCATCAGATGGACTCATATTTTTATATGCTATGCTAACATGAAAAATATCCATGTCAAAGGCTAAATAAAACATTCTTATCCAAAGAGATGTACCATTTGAATAGTCTAAAGAATAAATTATAAACTGTTTCATATGTGATGTTTATATTTGTTTTGTTTGCTCTATAATTTAAGCTAATATTTTGGAAATATAAAATAGCATGACACAATGATTAATTTAGAGATGATACTGGATATACTGATATGAAGTTGTAACTCCACATTAAGAGAAAATGCCATATAGCGTGCAAAACAAATTCCAGAAGGCTGTATTATATAATGCAATTTATGCTTTAATTATGATTGACAGTTTATAGACATTTAATGCCTACATTTGATATATAATATTATAAATATTTGTGAATGTGAGATCATACACTTTAAACGTTTTGGAATTTTACTTTGTTGGAATTAAAAGTAATGGCCAATTCACCATGAAAACTTTTGCTCTTGATACCGACCTAAGGAAATCTGCTTATGGTCAAAAACCTCGTAATGTATGTTATCTGTCTCCACCTTGTGGTTATTATAAATATTGCTACTTTCTAATTTTGCATTACTTCCTAGACATACATAAGAGAGGTTGAATGGCTATGGAAAGATATGAATACTTGGCTACCTCTGGATTTTTAGACACCAGAAATACAAAAAGTATTTCACATGATCAAAAAATACATTATGATATCAAAGTGTTGGGTCATCTAAAGCATTTCTAGGTTTCTTTGCCAATGTTAGTAGTCATTTTTTGCAAAACTCTTATACAACGGTAGTATCATGTAGCTAAAATCAGACACTTGAGCAGTCCACTCAGCATATCTTAATGTCTAAACATGTTTATTTTCCCTCAGAATTTCATAGTACATACAGGCCTTTGTATGATGCTTTCTAGGAAAGTCACAAAATGAGGGAGATGTTTTTCTGATAAGAAATTCTTGTCCCCTTTCTCTCCAGGAGAAGTGTACGTCTTCAGTAACATTTCTTAGGTTCTCCAATCAAAGGTTTTATTCTTTATTTTAAAGACAAAATCCTAACTTCCAAACACATACTATTTTCTTCTTTTTCCATTCAACTCAAGAACTGGGGATATTACAGGGATCACGATACACTGCTTTGCTTACAGGAATTTACGGTCTGTCCAATTTTGTTTTAATGGGTAGGAAATTTCCATGAAAGTGTATAATTCATAGATCACTCCTGTCAATTCATGTCTGAGTAAGAGAAGTCTAATCAGATAATCCATATGAAACAATTGGAAATGATCTAATCTGAGCCAAAAAGTTTCTACCTGGTTCAATTAGTCAAACCAAATTTGCCAGCTGTTCTACTAAGTGTATTTGTCACTTTGGAATTTCATGTCTTGTTGCATGGAGAGTTAAATACTACACAGAGAAGTTAAAGTTTTATTGATTAGAAAATACTACCTCAAAATCCCACAACATGCCCTAGTCCCTCACAGGGTCACACGGCTACCAACAGCAGAGGTTCTTGATTTTCTCATGGTTTAGATGTAAATTACACACCCTACCGTTTGGATGCAGGCTCCACAGGGATATGCATCAAGCCAGCACCTCTTTAAATACGCACTGTGCACATTAGAGAGAACTGTGTATCATACAGTAGTTAATATATAATCTGCCTTTAACACACACTTCCACTGTGTCCTTTCTTCCTGATCAATGTGTGATTGGATATTTCTATCATACACTCATTCAAGAAAATAAAACAAACATGAATAATTTGTCTCTTATAGGAAAAACTAAGGTCATAATATTTATCTGTCCTGCTGCTCTCAAAGACTAAGTACCCTTCATAATTATGTCTTAAATTTTGATGCTCCAACCTCAACTTCCTCAAACATGTACGGCACTTAATGTTAACTAAAACCAAGGATTTGAAAACATTTCATATAGGTTTATGATTTCAAGATAAGTGTTCATAAAACATGAGAAAACAAAAGAAAATGCTATTTACATGCATCCAGGAGAAACTTTTTTTGAGAAACAGATTTTATACTTGGGGATAATCACTAATCACTGTAATATAAATGACTATATTTCCTTAAAGTGTTCTTCAGATAGGAAAGGTTCTGAAGAAAGCTGGAATTCAGGAGGAGGCACTTAGACAATATAAGAAAGTCCACTGATAACATTTCCATTCCAAATGCTGTAACACCACTTAAATACTAGATTTAGCATGTAATTTATTAGGCTCATATGTTACACTTGTGCCTTAATGATGTAATGGGCGAACACTTACCTTTATCATTGCCATTTGCATAATTTGGAGGCTTGTTTTTATCGATGCTGTTAAAGCTCTGACTTCTCCTATTTAAATTGGAGGCTCCCTGGACCTTGCTGCTGCTGCCTGCAGCTGGCACCCTAGAGGGACCTGGAAGTCTGAAATAGTACAAGAAAAATTACATCATTATTGTACATTATAAAAAGATAGGGAACAGGAGGTTCTGAGCAGGGAAGAGTTAATGGGAAAATCATAATTTATGACATTCAGCAGAAAATGTTGGTTTAAGTGACAAATAGCTAAACACAAGGTTTGAAAATCTTCAGAAAAATCTTGGTTCATATGATATAATTTGCCTCCAAAGTATATTAATAATGCAGAACAATTAGAAATAATGTAATTTTAACTAAAAAGTCATGCCTATATGCACCTGATGAATAAAACTTTGATTTAAAGGTACTATAACAATTACATGAAAAGCAAGGGAAATAATAATACTTAACTAGAATCTATTATATTCTCAGGGTATTAACCAGCTGCCTGCAGTTGTTGTTAAGTTTTTCTTTTCAATATACGGGACATTTGTTTTTATCTTAGGTGGCTGTATCTTAGATGAACTTGTACATTAATAAAAAGAATAAAGTTAAATACAAATTGCAAATAGCAAATGCTTACTGAATATCTAAGCTAGTTAATTACTCGAAAACACGGCGTGGAGACCAAGGTCATGAGTTTGTTCATATTTGACTGATCTGTCTCACATAAAAACTTTCGCTCTCTTGCCAAAAGTAAGCACCTAGACTCTAGTTGGTTATCTCACAAGTGTGGCCAACTGATCACACAGGCCATGTGACAAGGATGCAGGTCTCAGAAGAAGAAAATCGAGAAGAAAACCTATGCTAGTAGAATGACAATTTAAAATACACTTACAGTGATAGTAGCTTTAGCTACTCGTTGTGTATGAAGGACAAGACATGAGGAAATGTAGGTAGACTGTATTAGAATTAGGGGAAGTTTGATAGGAGGTAATCATCTGCAGTTATTTTATTTGAACTATAATTAAACATCAGTTTGGATCATTTATTTCACTGTTTAAACAGTTTCCATATTAAAATTTCAGGTATCAATTATTTCAAGAACTGTGCGTAAAATATGCAATTACTATATTTTATTTTATACTAATACTAATGTATATTGTATATGTGTAGTAAACTCAATCCGCATAAATGAAAAACTAGAAATCAAGAATTAATATTGGCATCTTAAGACATATTTAAAAACATGATATTAAGGGTTGCCAGCATCTTTGCTAGTATTTGCTGCCACCATGTGAATGTCACTGTGTACTGCTCTAATAAGTTCTATTTTAAAAGAAAAATAACAAAAACAATCTATAACTTATAAATGTAGCAAATAATTTTTTCTTGTTATACAAAATGTTAAAAATAAAAGAATGTTTATATCTATTATATTGGTACCCAACATATCACAATTTCACAATCAGTTGCTACAATATTCAAATTTTAACTCACCTTATTATACTACTTGATACATTATTTCCATAGATTATCAGGAAATCAAACTCTTAAATGTATACTATAAATATTTTATAATAGTAACAGGTATTGCGAAATGGAATGAACATCAGGAAAACACACACACCAGCTTAAGACCAGAAATGTTGATATCTTGGAATAGTTAATAGTTTCAAAATGTTGACTGTATTTTGGAGTTTAAATACATGTGGCTAATAAATAGTTCCTTCAGCTATTTTGCTAATTAGAGGTTGTGTCATGCACAAGATTAGAATATTTTCCAAATGACTCCAGCATTTAACTTTTACTCAAATGGATCTACAGGGTTTGTAAGTCTAGCACAATAACCACAGACACCAGGAATTTTGAGTACCAGTGATTGCACTATGTAGAAGGAACTCAACTAATTAATTTGGCCAAATGTCCCATCGCAATAAATATGAGAACTAGTCCTGTAGACACAGCCATAGACTTAGAAAGTTCATTCCAAACTCACATTTATAAACAAATTTTGTCACAAAATTTGCCCTGCTTGCAATGAAACTTGACCTGTTTCTGGAAAGCAATTAAAATGCATTTTGATCTTGACTGTGACCCATGAAGCCAAGTGACATTTAGTTCTCAGAAGAACAAATTAAAACAAATTAAAAAATCCATTTGCTCTTCTCATTACCCTAATTTGACAGTCAGCCAGAGCTCAAGATCATTCATCAAAGTAATAAAAATAGAAATGAGAATGAAGCCAAAAAAAGAGATGTTCTATTAAATCAAAGAAGTACTTAAAATATATTTTATATTCATTAAGTCTTAGAAGTAGTAATAAAAAATGCTTACTGAACATGGCAGGTCACTGTTCTTTGCGCATCCTAGTTTATACCATTTCTTTTGATTTTTAATTAAATACCCTTTTAATTTGCCTTTCCAGAATCAGTTACTATGGAAATGAACAATTACTATGGAAATGAACATAACTTAGGAAACCAAGGCAAGGGGAAAAGCACATAACCTCAAGTTAAGGCATCATAAGTAGTTCTTGTGGTCAGATACTGCATAATATGATTCATTATTAGAGTAGTGACTAGTAAACCACCACTGAGATACTTCCCCAGTGAGTGAGATGGCACATATAATCACATAATAATCAGGGGGGCAAAACACATTTGCTGTGGCTTCACTTAGCTGTACCATCATGCCTCCATTAACCTAACATTAAAAAAAAATCACGGTCCACACATTTTTCTATACCAGTATTTTCCACACAGTATATAATGCACTGTCATTTACTATAATAGACTGCCTTTAAAATACATATGTCATAAAGAAGCAAAAATTTAAATGATTAAAGATAAAAGAATGGTTCAGGCTGAGCTGGTGCTAACTTCCCCACAAAAATCAGCCAATGTTTCTCACTTCTGCTTCAAAATGTGCAATAATTAATGCATACCCATTTCAAAAAGCAATTACAATCTTGTTTTACTTCCAGATTTGTGGCCTGGAAAGAATGGGGTCTTCAAAGTAATTTTTTTCCTTGACTTTCTCTAAGCCTAGAACCTAGACTTCAGCCCAGTCATAGCACTATGTATAACTAAACTGAATTAGAAGAACCCAAGACCCATTTCATAATCTAACACAAACATGCTCACCCCAAAGAAGGCATATGGAAATCTACTTGGAAAAATTCGGTACTCTAAGCTTTTCATCCAGAAGTATGTCAGTTTTTGAAAAAATTTAGAATGATAGGACAAAATATCACTGGGCATTTACTTTATTATCACTAACAAGCAATAAATTAGAGATATTAACTGACCTAGTAGGCTTTTTTTGACTGGTTGCAATTCCACTGTGATTAGACTGAGTTGCATATCTGGCTGCCAGACTGTATGAGGAGAAACAGAGAAATTGAATTAAAGAGATTCTTTGAACATGGAAAGAAAGTACAAACTTACAAGAAAACTATGAGTTAATGAAATGCAATTAGAACATGTATAAACATGTATAAAGAATAAATTAGAAAATTATGATAATGTAACACATATACCATGACCTTTGATTATGAACATATTATGAAATAAATAATGCTGTGGACCCCTTAGTAAGTGTGTCATCAATGAATTTTAAAAAAATGGTTGTGTGGCAATATTAATATTTTTAAAGTAATATTATTCCATCTTACAAAAAATTCAACCTTTGTAAATGACAGTGAAAACTTCAGGAAAGCTAAAGTTTGACTTAACACCATAGCAAGATCTCTTTCTCAAAAAGATTCAAATGGAAAAAAGAGTATGAAATGAGAGTCATTATTTTCTTTTATAAACTCTTCTAGTCTGCTGTTTTAACCTAAATACTATTTTGAAAGCCAAAAGATTAAAATATCTGGTTTCTGTGTAGTAAGTTATTGTTGATCTCTAGTCCTGGATAGAATATTTTATGGAAGTGATTAATACAAGATGTTTTTCTAGAGAAAGATCTATGCAAAAAATTGAGATTAAAATGGAGTCAAGTTCTTCAAAAACGGACTGAACAACTGCTGATGACAATTTCTGGGCATTCCT